TTATTAGCACGACGCTCTAACCAACTGAGCTAATAGGCCTTATGACTATAGAAATCATATATTTATATAAGAACGTAAAAATTTGAATTAGTTTTATTTTTTCCCATTTTTCTATCTCGATCAATTTTTCGTTGAATTTGATTTTATTTGAAAATTATCTTAAATCTTGCGTTAAAATCTTGAATCCATTAAACACAGTCCAAAAATCTTAAATCCGTTCATGAAAGTCCCAAGAGAGAGGCAGGCAGCTCAGAAGTGCTTGAAATATATTAGTAATCATAGGTAATGGCATTTTCCTCATTAACCCTAAACCATTATTCATCATCGCTGCTCCTCTCTCCCTTAAACTAGTATTGCAGTTCAGCTCAAAAATGGTTGAAAGCTAAGCACTGGTACTCCTCATTAACCGCAAACTACAAAAAAGTCTACCAATAAAAACACTTTCCTAGTAAAGTAGTTAAAATTATTGTCTTCGAAAACATTGGAAAAATCGCCTTTTATTTTATGTTTTGGCATTCAGAATGAGTAGGAGGTGATTGATCATCACGTTAATCAGACTTTCATAATTCATCCTCATTATGCCTTTGCTCGTTTTGGAATCGCAACAACAAACTGATTTTTTTTAAAAAAAAAAATTGTTTTAAAACAAAATCAGCATAAATAAGAAGGACGATGGATTTCTCTCAGACAAATGCCTCGATTTGTCGTCACGATTTGAAAGAATGGAAAAGATCGGACTCGTCATCATTTTTGATCATCACCGAGAAACCCCCTCAACATCCAACATTATCAATCACGCATCGACGAAAACCAAAGAAAGCACAAGAGAAAAAGAAACGAAAATACATGCCCCTTTTTTTATAGCCTCCAGGAATTTTGGGACGACTCGGACAGGGGAATTTGGGGGAAAAACAGAAGCTTTGATGGTGAGACGCTTCTAGCTTCCTATTTATAGGCAAAATGTGATTTAGGGTTAGGGTTTTCCTTTGTTCGTCACCCTCCACATTAATCAAATTTACAGAATAGCCACTCCGTTCAAATTGGGCCCACGTTCCAGCTCTTGGCCTGTAACCCAAGTTCAAAGGTCTCATTATTTTGTTTTTATTATTTCATTTTTCTAAACTAGAAAAGCGTTCCATAATGTGAATTTTCAAGAAATTGTAAATTTTGTACCTCATAAATTAACATCAAGCTTGATATAAATTATGAAGCAATTACTAACAATGTCGAATTTTGATACAAACCCTTGACATTATATTCTTTTATCCCCACTAAATCCAACGGATTAAAATTTTCAAATTATTTTCCTTTAACAGAAAATATACTTAAGAAATTAAATTATTGTTTTTTTTTTCCCACTAAATACCAATATCACATCATAAGATTGAAAAAAAAAGTACAATTTTTTGTTTCAAGTTCTGCAGAACAGCAATAATTCAGCACTGCACGGTGCGCCTAGAAGAAGTGAAGCACCAGCGACCAGACAGGGTAGACTAACAGAAGGATAATGCCAACGGTGTTTGATATTCCATGGCTCTGAGTGAAGGAATTCCTGAATCCACCCGAGGCCCGGATGTGCTCTTGCAGCAAGTAACAACCAATGAGGAGGCATATCAAAACACCGACCCAGCTGTCCTTCAAGGTGTGCGCAAAGAAGTTTGGAGCCACAACCAGGAGAAGAATCAATGATCCGGGCATCTCCAGCCAATCTGCAATTACCAATGAATTGTAGTATCAGAGAACGGAAATAAGAAACCACTAACATACTGCAAGCAGAAGTTCCTGATGCTTCGCACTCAATCAGTAAGACGTTTTCATTTGAATATGGTTATAGCTACACAAACTATTCTGCTAAAAGGAAATGTCGAAGGCACTTGTTCTGAGTCGGGCCATGTGTCAATAGAATGAAGTTACAGATTGCAAGTGTATGAGTTCTAATCAATGAACGTGTACTCTACAAATTAGAGCAATGCAGATAGACTTGTTTCGCTTGTTATACATATGAACGAAGTACATCAAATCTTGACGATGTTAAGAACATGATGCAGGTGTGAAGATGCCAAATTATCAAGGGACTACTCACCAAATTTCATTGCGTCCAGGAAGGCGCATAGATGAATAATCAATGAAACAAACAAGACAAAAACTCCATTTACTATATCGAAAAGACAGTGATGAAGAGAATTAACAAGAAAGATACATGCAGTAGGGACTTTTTTGCAAATCTACATGAATAGAAATACCATCTAATAAGTACGAAATCAATAATGAGCATGCTATTTATTAATACCGGTTAAAAAGCCAGAACATGTACCATTGTCAAAGGCCAGAGTTTTGATTCCACATGAGATATATTTGTGTTTGTTATTGTCAATATATGCATGATAGAGAGAAAGATGTGGAATAATTTTGCTTGTTTCTACAACATAACATATCAGTTGCCACAGTTAGATAGAAGAACAACAGAGCAAGGTAAGCATTGATGCCTAAATAGTATTGAGCATAGACCTGGAAAGTGTCGGGGGAAGAACAGCCTTAGAACAACTGCAATGAATGCGATCCATTTTCCAACCTCTCCCCTGAATGTGTTTAAATAACTTTCAGGAAATCTACTTGAGCGGAAGAAGAAAGAATAGTCGGAAGAAAGCAGTAGAAAAGATTATCACCTTAGAAAGTTGAAAAGCACCGAAGGAAGACTAAAGAAGATGTAAGGTATCAGAAGTGAAGTCAACATGTTTGTTCTCCAGTTTGTTCGGTCTAGGATTAACAAATAACTGCAGGGAACATAAAGAAGAAGTATTAATTGCAAATTTCCAGCTTGTTATATACAATATGGTAGTTTATGAAGTTTAATCTCGAATAACGAAAATGGCGATTCAACAACAAGGTGAGAAATGAATCACATTTATTCCAACTGTGAGAGAAAGTCCAGTCATTTATAGCACAGGTCAGAGTCTACTAGTTAGATCAAAGACAAGATAAAAGAAATTACAGGATCTAAAATTTCATGACTGTTGATCGCAATCCCCACCTTTCTTCTTTCTTTCCCATCTTAACATCCAATAAAGAAGTAAAAATGAAGCAGAAAAGGTTTTCTTTTCCTAAGTTTCACAAGTATCACAGTCCATCCATTCTGCAACTCTGACAACACAGTAGAACTTCTTATACACATTACAAAACCTTCACCAAACGGCAGATAAATTGGGATTGTCATCTTCCTGAGGCACTGAGCTGTGCTTAGCTGCTTTGGATAAGCCAATGTCAACAAGCAGGGGTTAATGGCTCAGATATATTGCCAATCTGAACCACGTCCCACAATTTTCAGACAAACAAAGTCATCAAATCGTTGCCTTTATGTTATATAACATTCTGTATCCGTAAAGAATTTGTCATCAAATTAGTTCCAACTTCCACTTCATTGATATTCTAGCGAAAGATGAGAGTACTAATATGCTTCAGGCCACATAGCAACAGCAGAACACAAGCATGCTGGTCACATCCTTATTCCATTTAAAAGCTTTTCGTGGTTGCTAGCTGAGGCAATAGTTAGTTGAACTTGATCCTTTCAGTCAAACTGATAAATTTATCAGTTCAAAGCACCATTTTCGGCAAAGGTCTTTGATTCTTTTTTATTTTCCTTATTCGTAGCTAGTAACACAATGGTTATTAAATACATAAGCACCTAGCTTCCTGAACTCAAATTCCCTTCCCACAATGGAAAAAGACTTTTAACAAAATAAATGAATAAATGAAAAAGACAAGTATGACAAGGCGACCCTAATAAACATGAAGGAAAACCCAGTAAGATAATAAAAAATGCACAACTAATAAGCACTTTCCACATAGAACTCCACTCCACCCAACAAGGATAACCATATTTTAATACACCAAACAAATCCAAACCACTATCAAATCTTTAGGAAATTTAAAGAACCCAGTGTTATGTAAAGGTCAAAGACGGGAAACTTACATAGCAGCAAATGAGGCAACCCATTTGAGAAAAGAAGTTCCAAAACCAAGACCTCCAAGCTTAGTTGCATCATTGATCAACTTCTTTGCAGCCAGCTTCAGCTCATTCATATCAGAACTGATCAAATCTTCTGCTACAGGATCTGTTTTCATAGCCAAATAGTCCATTCTCCCCATTTCTCACTTTTCTTCCTCCCCAGA